GAGGAGGGCAGACGTGTACTTGGAAGAAGAGCCGGAGTTCAGTGCCGCTCGGAGCCGCTGCAGGATGGGCAGCATGATGGGGAGCCTGCGATCAGAAGAGTGAAGAATACAGGTGTGGATGCCTTTGATTAGGAGTCCGTGAGGGAAAAAAAATCGACCCGAAACCGAAACATCCCATGCGATTAACAGACGTCCCCTGGAGCCATCTGCTGCTTTGGTTATGGCAGATACGCATGAACGATCACTGATCCATGCGTTCATAGCTCCAACACCACTTCACACCCATTGCAGATTCATGTTGGGCCCTTTTTCTTTCTGCTGCACTTTCAAAATGCGACAACTGCAGTTTAGTTACCTAATTTAATACCAGCGACCTAGCTATTTAAATGCATGGTTTTACTGCAAGTGGCAGAACATGAATCTGAATTAATGCACGTAGCTCCTCGTATATCCCTCAGACGATAGAGATTGATGCCATCTAATATGCATTGCCCCTCGGTTAACTCAGACACATGTGAAAACGGAGCCTGCAGACCAAGCACGGGGCGAAAAAACTGACGCCTGCAGTCAAGTGCGCGGGGCAAAAACCAATCGCCTGCAGCCCAAAACTCCGGGACTAATCTGTCCGCGGTCAGCACACTCACTGTACTCACATGCCAGGAGACTTGGAAAAAGCAACGGGACAACGCGGCACCGCCAATCGAGGCAGGGACACGCACGGCACCGCCAGACCTTCTGCGCGCGGCAGCAGACCACGAGGAACGAGCCGCACAGAACCCGCGGAGGGCCCCGCGGAGCAGCCCGCAGAAAGAGCCCGCAGAGGAGGAGAGCAGTGGAGATATGCGAACCACAGCAGGTGCAGGGACGCGGAGGAGGAGCAGACCAGTGCAGGGACGTGGAGGAGGAGCAGACCACAAGCAGCCAGACCAAGGACGCCAGGGTCGCGCCGAGTAGCGTGAGTAGACGAAAACGATTCCTCCAGACGATTCTCTGCAAGGCTTCGAGGGCTTGCAGGCTTCGAGAAGGCCGAGAGTGGGAGTTTCTCCGCTTTTAAGCGGCTTGCCTGGCCGGTACGGTGATTGGAAGGGGGCGTTTGCAGTGCGATAGGCTGGGGATGAGAACCGGCCTGGAGGGGTTACCTTTGGCTGACGTCTACCAAATTGAATTTCCGCTGGCTGCATGTCCCACCAGGAGGAGACCAGGGAAGACCCGGGACACGGAAAAGGAACTGTATCTATCTCTCAGCTGGCCTCAGGATTACCTCGGATGAGCTGGAGGAAGTGTGTGTGGAGAGGAAAGTCTGGGCGTCTGCCTCAGACCACAACCAAGCAACGGATAAAGTGGAAGAAAATTGGATAGAATTTCTGGAGTAAATCCCTCTGTCAATATGGGCCTCTCTGAGGTTTCTCACATTTTCCCACAGGACCATCCTAAGATGGCTGCACCCTGTGTTCTGGCTGACAATTGTATGAAAGAAAAAGTATATTTTTTTGCTTATCAAGTCAAGTAAGAATAAAATAAAAGGTGGGCAATGCCACCAAAGAAGACAACACAGATGGAGAGATACATTGAAGACATCCGCAAGTCAATGAACCACATGTCTGGAGAGCTGGCTAAAGTTACTCAACAGCAAACACAGCTGCTGCAACTTGTGGATGAGGTAAAGCAGTTTAAAGAAATAATACAGAAAAAGGAAGAAGAGGATTGATAATTTGGAACAATATTTGCGAATGGAGGATGTAATTATCAGTGGCCTGAGTGTGAAACCTCGCTCCTATGCAAAAGCAGCAGTGGAAGGGAGAAATGTAAGTGAAGATGCTGAACCTGCTGATTTACTGTCACTAGAGGGACAAGTGCTGCATTTTTTGGCTGAAAAAGACATACATCTGGATGTGAAGAATATTGCTGCATGCCACACACTGCCCAGCAAAGAAAGGAACAAGCCAACAATTATTCTGCGATTTGTAAACAGACGGTTCAAAACAGAGCCACTACGTCAAGGAAAGAAGCTAAAAGGGTCAACAGTTTATGTGAATGAACATCTCACAAAGAGAAATGCTGAGATGGCCAGAGAAGCCCGCATCCTACGAAAGAACAACAAGATTAAAGCAACTTGGACGAGGAACTGCAAGGTTTTCATCCAACTCAATGGATCGTCCCCAGAGGAATCTAAAGTTCTTGTGGTAAGAGAATTATGAGACCTTGATCAATTCCGATGAAAATGCTGTCTACTCATAGGGTAAATAGAAAGTTAGTGAAAAGAACTGATGGAGGACTTTTGTTTCCCTTGTCTCTTGGAGAAGAAATAGAGGGGAAAAAAATGTATAATGGAATATCCTGGGTTTTTTGTTTTATTCCTTTTGACTACATTACTCCCTTTGTTATTAGTCTCTCTGCCCTTTTCTCTTGTCCGGATACAGTAAAACATTGTGTGTATGGGTGTTGGTGTAGGACTTTTAGTGAGGAGGAATTAGCTGATACAAATGACTGATAGTGAGATCTATAATCTAAATAATGAAATGGAATACAAATTAAATGAGTTTGGTGAAGATATTGATCCAGATAGTAACTTTTACAATAATTTAATATATGACTGTAAATATTATTCCAATGAACAGTTCAATAATGTGAACATGGAAGGAGCACTCAGTATTATCCATCTCAATAGAAGAAGCTTATATATGAACTATGAGGAGATTAAAGAATATCTTAGTAAACTTAATAAATTCACTGTCATAACATTGACATTAACATTTACTGGTGCTGATGACACCAGTATTTACTCCTCTGGGAAAAGTGTTGATCAGCTTTTGGACAGAGTGGGAAAAGAACTACAAATCTTTAAAAAATGGTTTGACTATAACAAACTATCTATGAATTTAGCAAAATCTAAGTATATTATATTTGGAAACCGGAAAATTGATGCAATGGCTGAATTAAAAATAGATCACATAGTAATAGAGAGGGTAAGTAATACAAAGTTTTTAGGCATCAATATAGATGAAAAAATAAACTGGAAATGACACATAAATTAGTTTAAAATTAAGATTTCCAAAACCATTGGCATAATGAATAAAATGAAACACGTTTTAAATCAGAAAGCATTGCAGTTGATATATAATACCCTAATTTTGCCATATTTAAATTATGGTTCTGAAATATGGGGGAACACTTATAAGTCCACAACTCAAAAAAAATGTATACTGCAGAAGAAGGCAATTAGAATAGTAAATGGTGTCGATTATTATCCGCAAACAAATTCACTATTCATCAGATTGAATACCTTGAAATTACAAGACTTAATCAAACTAAATACTGCAGCACTGATGTACAAAATTCATCATCATATGGTTCCAAATTGTATCCAGGAGAGATTTACACTGAGAGAACCGCACTATGATATCAGAGGGAAGGATTTGTACCATAAACCCAAGACCAGGACTAATATTAAAAACCACTGTATCTCATTTAGAGGAGTTGATTTATGGAACAAACTCGATAACGAGTTAAAGGTAACCACATCCATAAAAGTGTTCAAAAAAAAGTATAAAGCAAGTGTAATTGATACTTATAAAACTTTAGAATGATGCCCTTTTGGGAAAAACTCGATCTATGTGTATGTAAGTTCATTAATGCATATTGTATATATGTATGTGTTTGTATGTGTATATATATATATATATATATATATATATATATATATATATATATATATGGGCTTGTTCACACTAAAGGGCACAAAAGTGTGACAAAAGGCCAAAAATTAGATTTTAATAATCATAAGATATTTTATGTTTTTCATGTTTCCAAGCACCTCCTCTGTTCATTAGAAGTTGCTAGAACATAACTGTTTTATACATTAGACAAGTTTCCTAATGCGGCCCTGTTTATTTTATCTAACGGACGTGATGATTTTGACGGAATGAGCTTTGCGGAAGTTTGATAGGTATTTTCAGATGTCCACATTTGATTCAGAGAATCAAATGTAGAAACAAAGTGATACTTTCATTTAGTCAACCAATTAAATGTGAAACCAGACAAGATTTTTCTTCTTTCTCAAGTTTAAATTTTAGAGAAAAGAGGACGGAAACCATCACGTCCGTTATACATTTTTCAGGGGTCATTTAATTAATTATTTTATTTTTTATTTTTTAACGATTCCTTTTCATATCAAGTGATTTCCTTCTGTTGTGTTAACCATAATAATCTTGTGGGATTTCATCTGCCGCTTTTTCAGACTGAGGACATTTTATTTTCTATGTAACTGGCGTCACAGTAGAATGGTCAAAAAAGAGGCTGATTTTGTCGTTTAAAATGTCACCAAAAATATATTTGACAATCTTTCCTTTTGATTTTATCCACACTATCTCTTTGATGTGTCTGTGTTTGAAATCTTTTTTCCAATCTATGATAGTAATTTTAGTTTTTAAGTTATAACCTTTTAAAGTCGAGATACTTCAATTGACACTTAACTGTGAACACACTCATATATATATATATATATATATATATATATATATATATGAATGTATATGTATATATGTGTTCTTTTGTTTTTTTCTTTTCTTTCTCTGGTTCAGTCACTTATCATTTCTGATTCTACCAAAATCACCAGAACTCCATTCTGAGGTCAGTTTGAGAAATGATCTCAACAAAAATCTGGTTTGGCAGTTCCTCTTGTGTCATCGCTCCAGCTGCACTGACAAAATGAGAATGAGGGTAGACATGGTGTGGGTCTGTTGGGTAGAGGACCCCTCCCTCCAATAGGTCCATAAAGCCTTGTCTTTTTAATGCACTACACAGAACAGGTTCCAGACACGGAGGGGGCTACAGCTGTAGCTGTTGTAAAAACAATGAAGATTACATTTATTATTGCAATGAACTGGATGGAACATAAATTGATAAGCATTGCTGATATTTTTGTTTGCATTGTAGTAGGATGAATACGTTTATTTTGGTGGGTGGGGGGCGACTTCCGCTAGTCCCAGCACTAAGCCGCAATGCGTGATGACGCACCTCCCTTTTTGCCTCTGTCACTCGGAGCACGTCTTGTGAAGGCAGCGCGCGGACCTCAAACAATCTATCGTAAGCATGATATTTGCATTTGACTGTTGATCGCCGACTAGGCAGGCGTTTTATGTGGATTTCTAACCATAGCTTCATTAACGCGTACCTCTGCACTTAGGAGCCGTTTAACAAAGCCTAAACAACAAATCTCATACCTCCAACCATCTACACCTGTCTGCGTAATCAGCGTCACTCTTAACAATGTGAGTCCCAGCTCTAGTAATTTACAATTGTTTATTTACAAACTACTAAACATGAATGTTGTTTATTTAGTGGTGGTCGTGGACAAACAAAAACAAAAGACACCACAATTGTCAAAGGTCTACATTCGAGAAAGGTATTCACACATCAAACGATCTTTATTTAGGCCTGTTGTGTTTACCTATGGAATACTTAACATGCTATGTAATTCCAGGAATCAAGCGCCGCTTGCCTGTCATTGTTTTATCCCATGTTTTATATGAACTGATTAGGTTGGGCCCTAGAAGTTTTTAACGTTACAAAATACTTTGGACGGGTCGTGCAATTATTTACTTATACTATTGAGAACAGTGGTACTGTTTTAAGGCCGTCTTATTGGTGTTGTTGTGTTTGCTGTGCACTGTTTGATTTACAGACTGAATTCTTTTGTTACCTGGTTCTTTTAACAGTACTGTCTTTTTAATTGTTATTGTACGTAACATAATTGCACTTTGCCCAACATTTTTAAAACGCTTCAAGCAAAATGAAATAAACCTACTTAAACTTAGCTTCGGCCTCTGTCAGTTTATTCTGGCGCCTGTGGTGTGCAAATTACTACAGAATTGGCGTTGCTGACAGGATTAGGCGAGTTAAGTTTAATGGCCCTTTACGGTTAGTGGGATAAAACAGTGGCAGGTCATCGGCATCGAGGGAGCACCGTACTCAAGCTTCACCACTCTACTCTTCCACCCTCAGCGCAACAACATGGAAGAAGCACAGGCTCTTATGGAGCAGCTGCAGCAACTTAAAGCCTCAAATGAACAATTGAGAGAGCAGCTACAAATTCGACAGACTCAAAGCACTCAGGTATCTGACCCTTGCCCTGGGTCTTCTAATACCAACATGGCTTCCATGAGCAATGCGTCTCATGAAACTGCAAATATACGTTATGTATATGCACCTAAAGATCGCAAGTGTCCGAAGTTTACTGGTAAAATGAGTATTGATATGCTAACTGTTAATCAATGGGTTGAAGAGGTACGGAGATGCTTGGAGGTTAGACATATGCCAATCTCTGAACAAGTATTGTTTGTTATTGACCACCTAGATGGTGGAGCAAAAGCGGAGGTTAATTTCCATCCTAGTCTTAGTCGGAATACACCAGAGAAAATTTTTGCCATCTTGACTGAAAACTATTGCTGTAAACAGTCTTATGTAGCAGCGCAACTTCAGTTGTTTCAACGTACTCAACGAGAAGGTGAATCTCTCCGTGAATACTCCCATGCTTTAAAGTCATTAATGGAGGTAGCCATACGCAAAACCCCGGGTGGTATTCCTAATAACGACATGATTTTACGCGATCAATTTATTGAACACATTTCAGATGAGACTTTGCGCAGAGAGTTGAAGCAACGCATTGTCCGAACCCCAGATATTCCATTTATTGAGCTCCGCGCAGAAGCTATTGGGTGGACTGAAGCCAGTAGACCCAATAGTAAAACTCGGTCTCGCGCATTTTCTTGCGACTCTCACTATGCGGACGTGGTTGAAGCTGACTCTAATGTGGTAGCAATAAAGCCGATTGATGAGATTGCTGAGATTAAGGAATCGCTTCGTAAACAACAGTCCCAACTTGATACTATCATGCAGCATTTAACAGCACAGCTCCCTCGAACTGAAGGTAATGATGTCCCTCAGAGTTTTGTTAAACGGCCCCGTGTTCAGGCAGACGGTAAGCCTATCTGCTATCGCTGTAATAAGCCCGGTCATATTGCGCGGTATTGTAGGGTAAACCTAAATCCAGGCAATCGGCGTGCGCTGTCCGTGTCTGAAGCTGCTTTGCGCAGTCAAGTACTGGGGGAGGGCCCTGACTCTCAACCGTCGGAAAACTAGACCCCTCTGGTGCGGAGAGCCAGGCGTCAGAAAAGGGGTTTGTGGGCTCACCTGAAGATTATTCCCGACTCATTGGAAACTGCCCGGTGGTAGAGGTTAGCATGGGGGGCGTCATTGTCCCCTGCCTCCTTGATACTGGATCAATGGTTACCACAATACGAGAAAGTTTCTTTAATAAATTCTTCAAACCACAGGGGATTGGACTGTTGAAAAAATGCCATTGGTTGCGGCTTAAGGCGGCTAATGGGCTCAATATCCCTTACAAAGGATACATGGAGCTTGAAGTTAATGTATTGGGCAGGAGCCTGGATCAAATCGGCGTCCTCGTGGTCAAAGACCCCCCTAACGAGCCCACAGACCAAAGCTCAACAGTGCCTGGTCTCCTGGGAATGAACATCATTCAATGCTGTTACAATCTATTGTTGACCAATTTGGACCCAGTTTCTTTCAGTCGCCCGTCATCAAAGCGGCTGGAAGAGGATGGAGAGAGGCACTGGTGAAATGCCAGCATATTGAAGCTGTGACCACACAAGGGCACCTGGGTAAAGCTAAGGTCCAAGGTCGAGCAGTATGCGTCCCAGCTGGTTCTTTAACTTGGATTCACACTGTTTGCCCATCTGCATCTGATCTGACTCTTCCATCAGTTTTGCTGGAGCCCTTATCAGGCACCAACCATTTGCCAGCAGGCCTCCTGGTGTCATCTGCCCTCCTCTCGGTCCACCAAGGAAATGTAGAAATCCCAGTCGTTAATGTGGGTTCGGAAGATGTTTGGCTGAATCCCCTTACGCAGTTGGGAGAGTTGCACGTGGTGGACACCCAGCATCCCGGGAATACTGTTACGCTGGAGGAAGGTGAAGACCAGGACGCAACGGCTGTGATTAACCAGGTGGAAGTGGATTGCTCGCAGTCCCTTGATCTTTCGGCCTTTCATTTGTCAAATTTGTCCCCTGAACAAAGCCAACAAGCAGCTGGGCTTTTTAAGACTCATGGCGCAGTGTTTAGTCAAAGTGATGGGGACATAGGATGTACAAACTTGGTAGAGCATGAAATCCACCTACTCGACGAGGCGCCCGTACGGCAACGTTATCGCCGCCTTCCACCATCACAGTACGAGCAGGTGAAGGCCCATATACAGGACCTATTGGACAAAGGGGTCGTACGGCCGAGCTCAAGCCCATTCTCATCACCCATAGTCATAGTTTTCAAGAAAAATGGAGAAATGAGGCTTTGTGTGGATTACCGGTTGCTTAACGCAAGAACTAGAAAGGATGCTTACCCTCTTCCCCGCATAGAGGAGACCTTGGATGCCCTCACTGGTGCACGGTGGTTTTCAACTTTAGACCTTGCAAGCGGATACAACCAAGTGCCTGTTTCGGAAAAGGATAAAGCTAAAACTGCCTTTTGTACGCCCTTCGGCCTTTTTGAATTCAATCGGATGCCCTTCGGGTTGTGTAACGCCCCAAGCACTTTTCAAAGATTGATGGAGCGGATATTTGGGGATCAGAGCTTCCAGTCCTTGCTACTATATCTAGATGACATCATCATTTTTTCCGCGACCTTTGAACAACATCTTCAACGACTGGATCTAGTGCTTACCCGCCTTCAGCAACATAACTTGAAGCTTAAGTTGCAGAAATGCCACTTCTTTCAACCGGAGGTGCAGTATCTGGGCCACATAATCTCAGCAGCTGGAGTAGCAACAGATCCCTCCAAAATAAATGCCGTTGCAGAGTGGCCCAGACCGACCACCTGTTCAGAACTGCAGTCTTTTCTCGGCTTTGCGTCCTACTATCGACGCTTTGTGCAGGCGTTTGCCAAGTATGCTGCACCCCTTCATGCATTGGTAGCTACATTAGGTGGCACTAAAAACAGAAGGTCGGGAGGGAAAGGTGTCATGGCGGAGCTATGGACTGAGAACTGTGAAGGTGCGTTTCAAAAACTCAAACAAATGTTGATCAGTGCTCCAGTGCTGGGCTTTGCTGATTTCAAAAAGACATTCATTCTTGAGATTGATGCAAGTCATGCTGGTCTGGGAGCAGTGTTGTCTCAAGACCAGGAGGGCAGACGAAGACCGATCGCTTTTGCAAGTCGAGGGCTCAGACCCACAGAAAAGAATATGTCGAACTACAGTTCCAGAAAGCTTGAGTTCTTGGCCCTTAAATGGGCTGTCACTAAGAAATTCCGGGAATATTTGCTGGGGAAGAAGTTTTTTGTCTTCACTGACAATAACCCATTAAGTTACCTTCAAACCGCAAACCTGAGTGCAGTAGAGCAACGTTGGGCATCAGAGTTGGCAGTTTTCGATTTTGAAATAAAGTACCGCCCTGGACCAGCTAATCGGAATGCTGATGCACTGTCACGCCAAGTACAACCACAGAACATATCTCCTTCCACACCTGGGTTCGCGGTGCCCCAGGAGGCCCATATAAGACACCAGACCAGCTCCACTGCTGATGCCTCTTGCAGTATAATCACAGCGCTGCCGTTCCGCCCAAAAGCAGATCTGAATACCTTGCAAGCAGCTGATCCAGTCATTGGTGGTTTTCTTCAATACTGGAAAAGGAAGAGACCCCCCTCCAAACAGGAATTAAGCACGTCATGTAAAGGCCTTCGGAAAATGGTACAGCAGTGGTCAAGAATAACAATGCGCAATGGTGTTTTATACCGCCAAATTCAACCTCCGGGTGGGCAACAGATATGGCAGCTTCTCTTGCCACAATGCCTTAAAGCTGAAGTTCTAAAGAGCCTTCACGATAATCATGGCCACCAAGGTGTCTCGCGCACTATAAATCTGATCCGAAGCAGATGCTATTGGCCTTTTATGGGGCATGAGATCGAAAAATACTGCCAAGAATGCCACCGCTGCACACTTGCGAAAGCTACCTATCCGAGGGTTCGCACCTTCAGAGGAAGTCTTGTGGCCTCAAAGCCTTTAGAAATTGTGGCCATTGATTTTGCCTTGCTTGAGAAATCAACAGACGGCAGAGAAAATGTGCTAGTGGTAACTGATGTGTTCTCCAAATTTGCCCAGGCATATGGCACTCGTGATCAACGCGCATGTACCGTTGCAAAGATCCTCACGGAAAAATGGTTTTACACCTATGGTGTCCCTAAACGGATTCATAGCGATCAAGGAAGAAATTTTGAAGGAGATCTCTTGAGACGGCTATGTAACTTGTATGGAATCGAAAAAAGTAGGACGACGCCATATCATCCGGAGGGCAACGGGCAGTGTGAAAGATTCAACAGGACACTCTATGACTTGTTGCGCACTCTTCCACCCGAGAGTAAAAGAAAATGGCCACAACATCTGCCCGAAGTACTTTTTGCATATAATACCACGGAGCATCAGTCCACCGGCTTCTCACCATATGAGTTGATGTTTGGCCAAAAGCCCCACCTTCCTGTTGACGCCTTGCTTGGCACATCACATGAGGATGTTACCTCTACTTCAGCTCAGGATTGGGTGGAAGAGCATAAAAACTATCTAAATATAGTGTATGCCCAAGCCAAAGAGAAATTGCTGCAGGCAACCGAACGGAGGAATAGACATTACAAGCCCAATGTGATCTCTGTCCTTCCACCAGGTACTTTGGTGTACAAAAGGAGCCACCGTTAGGGCGTCACAAACTGCATGATGCTTGGGATCCAACTGTGTTTGTTGTCATCAAAAGTATGGATCCAGAAGGCAGAGTGTATCAAATCCATCCAAAAGATTCCGCGGGTAATCACAGAAATGTGAATAGAGCTGAACTCAAAGTCCTGCCTATTCCACCTGTTCAACAGATGGAACAAGAATCTCACTTAGACCCGGGGTTGGTGGACACCCACTCACAAAGAAGTCATTCACACTCTTCAGAAGAAAGTGAATCAGAAGCTCTTATCATAATATTAGACCAAGAGCCGCAAAGAGTCAGGGCCCTCTCTCCTCCGCGTCCATGCCAAGCAGAGAGTACTGAAGTAACCCCACCACCTATAACAACTCAAAACCAGCAGCAGGGTCCTCAAAATACAGCCCGTGCGGTGTCCCTGTTAGACACTACAGTACAAAGACGCTCGCAGAGAACAACCGCAGGTCAGCATACAAATCTCCATCGCCTTCCGCGGTCTATGACTTAATCCTCCGTATCAACAGTAGTTAGTTACGACCAGAAACTGCTTAGTCACCGGGACGGCGACCTTTCAAAACCGGGGCCGGTGTAGTAGGATGAATACGTTTATTTTGGTGGGTGGGGGGCGACTTCCGCTAGTCCCAGCACTAAGCCGCAATGCGTGATGACGCACCTCCCTTTTTGCCTCTGTCACTCGGAGCACGTCTTGTGAAGGCAGCGCGCGGACCTCAAACAATCTATTGTAAGCATGATATTTGCATTTGACTGTTGATCGCCGACTAGGCAGGCGTTTTATGTGGATTTCTAACCATAGCTTCATTAACGCGTACCTCTGCACTTAGGAGCCGTTTAACAAAGCCTAAACAACAAATCTCATACCTCCAACCATCTACACCTGTCTGCGTAATCAGCGTCACTCTTAACAATGTGAGTCCCAGCTCTAGTAATTTACAATTGTTTATTTACAAACTACTAAACATGAATGTTGTTTATTTAGTGGTGGTCGTGGACAAACAAAAACAAGACACCACAATTGTCAAAGGTCTACATTCGAGAAAGGTATTCACACACATCAAACGATCTTTATTTAGGCCTGTTGTGTTTACCTATGGAATACTTAACATGCTATGTAATTCCAGGAATCAAGCGCCGCTTGCCTGTCATTGTTTTATCCCATGTTTTATATGAACTGATTAGGTTGGGCCCTAGAAGTTTTTAACGTTACAAAATACTTTGGACGGGTCGTGCAATTATTTACTTATACTATTAAGAACAGTGGTACTGTTTTAAGGCCGTCTTATTGGTGTTGTTGTGTTTGCTGTGCACTGTTTGATTTACAGACTGAATTCTTTTGTTACCTGGTTCTTTTAACAGTACTGTCTTTTTAATTGTTATTGTACGTAACATAATTGCACTTTGCCCAACATTTTTAAAACGCTTCAAGCAAAATGAAATAAACCTACTTAAACTTAGCTTCGGCCTCTGTCAGTTTATTCTGGCGCCTGTGGTGTGCAAATTACTACAGCATCAACAAGATAAAAATGATGATGGCAAAAATCAGGAATGACATGTAAAAATTTAAATATTTTGCAGCCGGTTAAATTAATTTATTGATAATGGGGAAGGCACATATTAGCTTTTTGCTTCGACCTTCTCCTTTTGAGCCTTTCTTGAATTATTTGTGCATGTTATTGTGTATTGTCAACTGCTCAAATAAAAATACTACTACTACTACTACTACTACTTGGTTTGTGAGTGGTGCAAATGCAGGAGGGTCTAACACAATGATGATCCGAGGCATTTCTGCACATTTATTAGCATTTCTGGACAGTGGTCATCCTGTTTCCTATGAACCAATGGTTCCTATATGTGTTATGTGTTATGCAGCTTTGTAAAGCCCTCAGCAGTCTTAAGCAGCAGTCTTAAATCAAGACTGCTGCTGTGATTTAAGGTGACACACAAATAGATTGAATTGAATTAAATAGATGGACCTTTATCTCAGATGTATCTCATATCAAAATGGCTGCAAGTGTGAATAAGGGTGATCTTCTGTATGTATTTGGCACCAGCTCTTCCCTGCTCAGGTGGGCTTGCAGCAGCTTCAACTAGAGCCATTCTCCATCACACTTTACACCTGATTTCATGCGTGCAGCTACAGCTCATTCACGTACTTACTCCGTTTCCATTTTTAAATTATTTATTTGGTCAATAATAGCGACGCGTGCCTGCTGCAGCATCACGCCCAGAGCCTGCGAGGCTTGTTTTCGTCTTACCCAGAGGAATGGCTCGACCACGACCGCGGGAATACAGGGCAGGGGATCTGGTCTTCGCCAAAATGAAAGGGTACCCCCATTGGCCGGCCAGGGTGAGTGTGTCCGAGACGGAGACGCTACGAGCGAGCAGGCTGGCTCACGACCACCGCACGGACCTGGAACCACACAGAACATAATCAAACATCCCACCGCGTCAGAAATATGTCTTATTTCAACCCGCTTTGTGCATGTTGCGTGTAGAGGAGTAAGCTAGCTAATTCATGCTAGCATTGCCCAAAGGACGATTCTGCTCACCCGTTTCCTAGGTTACCATTCATTCGCGTTTCACGTATTTGCCTGTTTTGTGCAAAGGAATATTAGTGAGTTGTAGTAAATCATGCAATGTGTTGAATATGGGGTTGTAAGTGTTTTCCCAACATAGACGTTCCTAGAAAGCAGATTGACCCGAGGTAACCTTGCGCGTTCCCACGATCATTAATATGCATGAAGCTGAAACATACCCTGGCTTTAGGGGACTGTGTTGTAGAATTGATCTTTATTATAGTTCATGCATTGAGGATAATGTTTGTGTGAAAATCAAATTGTACTTGTATTACTAGGGTTAAATTCCTTGGATGTGTACTGGGTGCAGCTCTGACTGCCACCCCCAAGACCCAGAAATGGATTAAGGGGAAGAAGATGAATCGATGGATAGCCGACAAATATAGAACACGGATCAGTGCAGCATATGCAGTTGCTGTATCGCTTGGTGAAGAGAAAGCAGTACCCTTTAATTCACTGAGTCCGTGATCTCCTGTTGTAGATTGATGAACTTCCAGAGGGAGCAGTGAAGCCTCCTGCCAACAAATATCCCATCTTCTTCTTCGGGACACATGAGACGTAAGCAAAGTTTTCCCCTCTCTTTCTCCTCATACAAAAACACAAGGAGATTGTTGATTTACTTAAAAATAATCAAACTGACCATTAGAAGGGACTTATTGCTGCTTAAAAGCACAGTAAGCACATGGATGGAGTTCCCAGTGCATCCCTGTCCTGAGCTACCTTTTTCTTTGACAGATGAAACCTAAAAGAAAAGACAGATAAATAAATGCAGCAAACATAAGAAAACCCATGGGGAGAATCAAGGTGAAGGAGAGAGTCTGCTGTGGATGGATTGATCCGGGACCGACAACAAATATGGTTCTATATTGCACATTCATTCTGACATTATTAAAGTTATAATTGCACAGCTGAGTAAAGTAAAGTGACCGTGACACATGTGGTTTCTTATGGCACATTCTAGCATTAATTCAGTTTATTGCATCGGCGTTCTGTTTATTGGTCCTCATTGTTCATTGTACAGTTTGACTGCAGCAGGAAGGAAAGCCCTGCGGAAACCTCTCCCTCACACTCAAACCTTCACTCTAACCCCTAGTGCCTCAGTCCTCATCCTCACCTACTTGAGCTAACTCATTGATTGAAACATACACTGTGATTGAAGAGGGTGTTGTGTGCAGAGCCTTCCTGGGCCCAAAGGACCTACTCCCTTACAAAGACTACAAAGACAAGTTTGGAAAGTCCAACAAGAGGAAAGGCTTCAATGAAGGCCTGTGGGAGATCGAAAACAACCCTGGAGTCAAGTTCACAGGATATCAGGTCAGGGCCCACCCCCACCCAGAGCACAGGGCACTTTAGCCCTATCCCTACACTATTGGTTGTCTGTCACTACATGCAAGAATTACTTTTATTACATTAATTCCAGCAGCAGGAGGACTGAGAGCAGTGATATTGTGACGATAAGAATTTCCAGTTCAAACCTTTGCTTTAACTTAATTATGTATAAGCATAAACACACTTTTTAGTGTTTTTTTCATTAAACAAATCATGTTATACTTTATTGTTCCTTTTGGTAAATGTATTCTATGCATTTGGCTAACCCTTCATTGGCTCCCTTTTAATCCTACAGATGATGACAGGTTCAGAGGAGGCAGAAAACACAGCAGACGGCAGCAGTGAGGGGGAGGAGGGAGACTCTGTGGAAGAGGAAGAAGACACAGACAACATCCAGACCGAAAAGAGCGGCTCCAAGCGAAAACACAGTGTTTCTGCTAAGGTACGTCTTCATTAGACTGGACACAGATTCTGCTGGACACATGTCTGTGGCGGTGAATGTGTGAGAGTTTAGTGGTTCTCAACCTATTTCTCCCAGACAGCATCCCTCTGTACTTAAGGCCTGTGTGGCGTCACTGTGTGCGTTGGCGTTTGCACTGGACCAGTTGTTGATTACGCAGCCACAGTTGTTCGTATGCTCAAGCGTATCCCTGTGCATAGTGCACATGATGGCAATCTTGCAGGAATTGCTTTGGACGCCAAAGTTCCACTAGCTACTTTGTCCACTTCCGAACAAAAATAATGGAAAACTAAACTGTTTAATATCGATGAAGAAAATCTCAGAATCTCATTAAATCTGTGTTCTAGGCGTAAGTTTATGTGACTGTACTATAGAACTAATTTTAACTGTGATGCTGTGAATAAAGACACGGTTCTTGTTGGAAGCAGATGGGTATTCATTATTGTATTTGTGCACAAACAAGCAAAACAATAAGTTATATTTATCTGAGACCAGGCCTGGACTGGCCATCGGGCGTACTGGGCAATGCTCGAAGGGCCAATGCCCATATTTGGGCTGCTCGACCTGCCGCATACAAATGTAATGTTGGTGAATTGTTTAAATCCATCAAGAAATGTTCGAGGGGGGGGTGCATGACCGCTGTTCGTTCTACATCCACCATGGCGTTCTGACCCGGGGCAGCTGCGGCCGCTTTGTAATGACAGTGGTTCCCACCTCCAGCGGCTGTGAGCCTCTTTGACAACTCTGCCATAACCTCATAATGTGACCATGGACCATAGACATGCACAGGATCATTCTCTGCTTGTTTTTGTCTTTGTGTAACCTGTACATGCAATAAATACACTGCTGTAAGAAAGAGAGCTGGATGATGGAGCCTCAGCAAGTGCTTGTGTTTCCCCCGTGTCTCCTCCCGAAGCGCAACTAAAATTGCTAAATTAAAGCTGGGGTACCTACATTTTCCCTTGCATTAACAGCTCATATTGGCCCAAAAGTAAAATGTTGAGAACAAATCAAACAGATTTAATGTCAGCCAAAATCTGTTTGATTTTAATGTATATACTACTGTATAGTATATACATGTTAGGTCCGATATGTAACCAAACCTCTAGTCGCCTTGTATATGACTGAGCAAGCTGGTCAGGAGGACCAGCTCCACTCTGAGCTGCTCTCTGGGAGGAGGTGAGGGACAAAGTCACCTCCATCATGGACAACACCTCCCACTGCACAGGACTGTCTTCAGTGGAAGATTGAGGCACCCTCAGTGCAAGAAGGAGCACTACCACAAGGCATTCATCCCCACCACTGTCAGACTGTACAACAAGTCACTTTAAGTCACTAATGACCTGCACTAGAACTGAAAAACCAGCACTGTTATAGCTACTTTTTATTTTACATGATATATCCTGCACCGACTATATTAATTATAGTTATTACAATTTTAACCTTTAACATTCATGTCTTTTTGCACAATCTAAGTGATACTATCTATGCCAAATGTGATATGTAAATTTCTCCATTATGAGATCAATAAAGTTTATCTTATCTTATATCAGGATAGTGAGCCATGAGCCTCGCAAAATCAGGCTCTTGAGCCATGAGCCCAAACTGCTTTTCTTTCGGTTCACTTCGACGCACCGAAGCAATCTACTGGATGGAAGCCGTTCCATGCTTCCATCCAAAACGTAATCACACACGGGGCAATCACAACGGACCTTCTCTGCGCTGTGCGCTGCGAAGTTAGAAAAATCCAAGGGTGTGCGGGTGGTATTGCGGTGATCTTTGCGTTGGTCATGTGACATCAGGTGACGTCACGAGTGCCACCACAAAGCGCAGCGACGCGCGACATAGGATTTTAGACTTTGTGTTGGGAGGATGTGGTGCAGGACACAGCTCTTGAGTTGTTCAGACCACTCTCATCTCTGAAGTGGCCTGCATGTGAAAGCCAGATCTCGTCAGACCTCTGAAGCTAAGCGGGGCAGAGTCTGGTTTGTACTGTGAAGGGAGACCTCTGGGAACACCAAGTGCCACATGGGGCGGCTGTGGCTTTAAATTGCCAAACTGTCGTGTCGGTGGGCAAGACACTTCAACCACATTGCTTAGAATGGTGTGTGCATGAATGGTTGGTGGTGGTTGTAGGGCCAATGGCACATTCTTGCTTCTGTCGATGTGGCCCAGGACAGTTGTGGCAACAGTGTTATATAGTATTACAACACGTTGGTGATAAACTACTACTGTAGCCACAGCTGCCCTGGAGCACACTGACAGAAGCGAGGCAACCAGTATGTGCCATTGGCCCCCCGGACCACCACCGGGTTACACACACACCAGACGCATTCTAGGCAATGTGGCTGAAGTGTCTTGCCTAAGTACACAACAACAGTTTGGCACTTTACAGCTGCAACTGTGGCACCTGGTGTTCCCAGAGGTCTCCCATCACAGAGATCATGTAAAGCGCCTTTGAGTGTCCGGGACTTGCTATATACAACCAATTAATTAATATTAAGTTAGTTTAGGAATAATAGCGTTTGAGTATCAGTTGGAGGGTCTGTGTGAAGACAGTCTGTGAGGACAGTCTGTGAGGACAGTCTGTGAGAACAGTCTGCGAGAACAGTCTGTGGGAACAGTCTGTGTGAGGACAGTCAATGAGAACAAAGTGCTGTGAGGACAAAGTGCTGCGTGCTCGTGTGCTTCTCCTGGTGCACTGCAGTGTCCAAAAAGTAACATATCTTTTCTCTCCTAGCAACCGCTGTTGCCAGGCAACTGTGCTCCATCAGTCTCTGCATGTGGTGCATCCACAAGTCTCTCTTCTTACTACATAACAGTGTAAGATAGTTCTGTAATAGAGCCCTATGTCCTTAATGTCAGAAGTCGAAGCAGTCAGGGCCCTCGGAGGAGGAGAAGGACGGGAAAGAGGAGGACCAGAGGAGCGGCTCCGAGGGAGAGCAGGACAATGACCTCCAGAACTCTGACTATAAGGTATGTCCTCTGTCATCTGTGTCTTCTGTCCTCTCTCTCCTCTGTGTCCTATCTATCCTCTGTTCCCTCTCCCCTCTCCCCTCTTCCCTCTCTCTCCTCTGTGTCCTATCTATCCTCTGTTCCCTCTCCCCTCTCCCCTCTTCCCTCTCTCTCCTCTTTGTCATCAGTCCTCTCTGTCATCTCTCCTCTGTCAACTATCCTCTCTGTCCTCTATGTCTTCCCTCTCTTCTCTGTCCTCTCCCATCTCTGTGTCAACTTCTATCTACTCTCTGTCCTCTCTGTTTTCTGGGTCCTCTCTTTCCCATCTCTCCTTCCTCTTCTATCACCGCTCTCTCCTCTCTCTGTTCTCTCTGTCGCACTCATGCCACCTATGTCTCCAGAACAAGATGCTCCTGGAGGAACATTAAGCCCAGGATGAAGACGCAAACTTTGTGTAGCTCCAAGCACCGGTCTCACGGACAGTTCAACCACACAACCACCAACCATACAACCGCACAAGCACCAACCGTACAACCGCACAACCATACAGCCATCAACCACATAAGCACCAAACACACAACCACACAACCACCAACCATACAATCATCCTCTGAGGTCCAACCACACAACCCCCAACCACGCAACCACCATCTGAGGTTCAATCACACAACCACCATCTGAGGTCCAACCACACAACCCCCAACCATACAACCGCACAAGCACCAACCGTACAACCGCACAACCATACAGCCATCAACCACATAAGCACCAAACACACAACCACACAACCACCAACCATACAATCATCCTCTGAGGTCCAACCACACAACCCCCAACCACGCAACCACCATCTGAGGTTCAATCACACAACCACCATCTGAGGTCCAACCACACAACCCCCAACCACCATTTGAGGTTCAACTACACAACCACCATCTGAGGTTCAACTACACAACCACCATCTGAGGTCCAACCACACAACCACCATTTGAGGTCCAATCACACAACTACAGAACCACCAACCATGCAACCACTGTCTGAGATAAAAGATAAAGTTTCTGATTGCTTTGACCTGGTAGCAAAAGACACCTCTTGCAAATGAGTCAACCCATTGTCATTGTTTTGACACACTTCCGGCATCCTTTTGCAAACCAGTTAATGCAGATGTCATTCAAGCAGTCCAAACTCCATTGCTTTAACTGTGGTAACCAAACAGAAACTATATGTTATCATATCTTAGACACTTCTTGATCAGTATGAAATCACTGAAGCACCTGTTTGACACTGCTTCACAAAACTTTTCAATTTGCAATCAGTCTGCAGGCTGACTGATGCTGACTTTTGCCAGCATTTTTGTTTTGTATTGTAACTTGCAAGCATGGATGGTCTAAGGCAGATGAGAGCGATGTAGAGGAGTCCATGTGGCCTATTCGTCAAGAGAGGACTTACTAGAAGAGTTTTTTTTTCTTTATTGTACAGAATTTGTATTTTGATTTTCCTTATGTCTTACACAGTGATGGATTTTACTGAATTTTTTCTTTCATACTATTCTTAGCTTTCATTAACCTGGCCTGAAGGAGGCGAATGAGCAGAGATGGGACAACTCTGTTTTGCTCCCATTGAAAACCATGTAAGTCTTGTCTGTTTTGAAGTCAAAAGGCTCTCATCCTGTGTGGTGTACGGTTGTAACAGTCTTAATCGGGGACACTCAATTCTAAGGGAGTGCAAAAAAATATTTCTCAAAAGAGTCTTGATTTCATTTTTGGAAACAATAGCAGAAGAAATTGTTGCGTTTCATTTGAGTGGCCTGCAGGGGGCGCTTATCTGGGAAACACTTGATCCACCTGCCTCATTCGAGTGATTTTTTTCAAAATGTACTCCTTTAGATGAGACCACAATTGGAACACGGAATAAACTCTTGTCTTTCTCTCTATTCGCGCTGTTGCTACAACTGTACACCGCACAAAAAGATGGTATTTTGACTGAAGCTTCTTCTTCTACTATATCTCTGTGTATATAACCGGCAGACTGCACCGCCAGGGTACGTCACATCCGGTCCGGTCCTGTCCCACGTATGTCATTCGCGCCACTGCGCCAACGTCATATGAAACCCAAGAATGTATGTGGTTTCTGATGGAATATTTAATTTCTTAGCCACATTCTCAAAAAAAAAGCATTTAATGACATTTGAAAAATCATTGTTTATGATTCTGGATCTATTTTTTGCAAGAAAGCAAATTAGCACTGATTTGTAAGCTGCTGACCAGTAATGCAGCAGTGTTTCACATTGAGAGCTGAATTTTGTATTTTGATGCCCCTTGTCTAATGACTGATTGGAAGCACTTACTTGTGTGCAAGTTGTGTTGTTTGAGGGCAAAATTTACTTTTCGTCCATATTTAAAATGTTTTGCCGGAGTTAGAGCCTTTTGCAGGCAAAATTAGTCATTTTGACTATTGGTGCCACTGTTTAGGTCTTTGCGTTAACAGTTTTGAGAAATGTGGATTTTGAGTTGACTTCTGCATCAAAGCAATGAAGAATAAACTCTAGTATGAGAAAAGTTTGTGTCTAGATTCAGATTCAGATTCATTTATTACGTCGTCTCCCAAGAGAGAAACGTGTCTTGGAGCAGGGGGGGTCAGTAACACCCCCAAATACAGACATGACATTAAAAAAAAGACAATACACACAAAAACAAACAATACACACATAACATTTGTTGACACTAATGCACAATCACCTGATCAGCTTTATGGACTGAGGTACAAAAGAGTTCTTAAACCTATTGCTTTTTCACAGTGGGATCCTGTACCTCCTCCCAGAATGCAGCAGTTCGTATAGTGAGTAGAGAACATGAGTGGAGTCTCTGATGATGTTCTTGGCCTGTCTAATCACTGACTGTTTCATTGATAGTTTCAATGTAAATTTTTCGAAGCAGTGCGTCCAAACTAGGGTGATGCAGCGGTTGGGAAGTGCTGGTTTGGAGGGTTTCTGGTTACATTGTAGATTCTGTTTAATTTTGTTATAATCTAAATAATGTTTGTGCCAAATGAGTCATTGAATAGTTATGGTAATTGAGTAGCATAAGTATAAGTCCTTTTAGTCTAAACTGTGGTGTAATGGCAGAATGTATATGTCCATTAGATTTAAACATGATTTACAGTTATATAATAATAGATGAACCTAAGAATCTACAGCCAGTGCACGTTCTCTGAGTCCAAGCTTTAAATGAATGTAGTATCAGACGCCTTTCTGAACCAGAAATAGACACAGGGATCTCAGCAACACTCCCTCTGGTCATGGCACCAACTTGTGGTGGTCTTAATGCAGCTGAGGTTCCAGACCCATCACTCTCCACACTGTACATGTCAATGGATGTTTATGAATCATATTTACCAGGTGTAAGCTAACCATGTGTCTCACTACATACAGTGTAGATACCATGAGTATTTGAACTAATCTTCTGTCATAATTTTTTTTATAAGATCCATAAACTTACTGTCTTTCCGATAGACTTACACTCTTTCCTATATACTCTGCTACTGTCTATGATACGGTATGTGTTGATTATGCACTGTACGCATTACTCTAGTTGTAGCTTGGATTGTTTTTATAATTTTATCTTTGAAAAGGTCTAATGGAAACTCTTAATCTTTACTAACTGGCTGAATGGTGGATGAGTGTAGGGTCAGGTTGTACCCCATCATGACCTCCACAGTCAGACTACAGGCAGGTCACTGTGTAACTGGTCACATTTAAAGGTTTAGATTTGTAATTCAAAATTGTTCACTGAGGCAGCTACATGTTGATTGTGACATTTACTTATTATTTTGTTAGTTTCCACTGAGCAAAAAAGGTTTTCCACCCGTTGAGTTCATTTGTAACCTCACTCTCAGAGTGAGGTCCATGTTCACTTCTGCGTTCAGAGGTGAACATGGAATAAAACTGTATTTATAATGAGAAGAACCAACGTCATGTTTTTAAGTCGCGTTTCTTCACAGTCAAATCTGAAACGTGTTTTGCATTTTGTAAATGTAACTGACTTTGATGTTTATGTATCAGACTTTTATGTAATAAAATTATAGGGAATGCTTCTGGGGACTGTCATTATGTGTGCATGCTCTGGTCCTGGTTCAAACGTTTAACACATTCAGTGAAATAATAAACTGAAATAACATAAATTCACAGAATTTCCTTCCAGGTTCTGTCACTCTCGCTTCTGAGCAAGAAGGTTCTGAGTTAAAATACCAGTTGGAACAGGGCTTTTCTGAGTGGAGTTTTGATGTTCTCATGTAAGCATGTAGGTTTCCTCCAGGTGATCAGGTTTCCACTAAAAACAGATAGATACTTTATTGATCCCACATAGGAGACATTCAGGTGTCTAGTAGCAGCAAAAACACACCCATCCACACAAATAAAACAAATGCATCGATAATTCTTAAAAGCTAACACTAGTACTAATAAACAACAGCGCTTGCGGTGTAGCCTCAGGATGGAGCAGGACAGCTTACAGTAGCAGAGGTGGTGTAGCCAGGTGTAAATCCTCCAGCTCTGGTAGTCCTGACCAAGGCTAGTATCAACATCTGGAAATATTCTCTCGAAGATCACACTCAATAATGTAACACTGTAAAAAATCGTGGAATTGTTATTGACCAAGAACTCCTCTTCAAGGCACTTATAAATCAAGCAACTAAAAAGTAAAAGTGCATACTTCCACCCTACACAACATTAGCTGAAATCAAGAACATCCTGAAAGTGATGCAGAAAAACTGATCCATTGTCACCTAAAGGCTTAGATACTGTAACGCCCTGCTAGTGTTTTTATTTATTATTATATTATATATTCAGTTTTTTAATTTATCTTTTAATACAATTTATTACGTTTTGTTAACTCATTGGTTCTATTATATATATAAGCGTGTATGAGGTGCATTAAAAATGCCCAAAAAGTGCTCACACGGTGCTGAAAAAACACTGATTGAAAAAACAATCAAATATACACATATACAGTGGCATAAGTGGACGATTTGAACAGTAAAAGTCAACTTCCAAACTAGTTAAAAGCCAAAGAGAACAAATGCGTCTTAAGGCGTGATTTAAAAACAGGAAGGGAGTCAGCCTGTCTAATGCACAGAGGCAGCTCATTCCACAGTTTGGGACCAACCACAGAAAAAGCTCGGTCTCCTCTGAGTTTGTGGTGAGTCCGAGGAACCATAAGCAGTGATTGGTCCACCGATCGTAGCGAACGTGTCGGAGAGTATGACACGAGCAGGTCGGACAGATAACTCGGAGCAAGACTGTTGAGGCATTTAAACACAAATAAAAGAATTTTAAAATCAATTCTGTATTTGATTGGAAGCCAGTGAAGGGAAGACAAAACAGGTGAAATGTGATCATGCTTTCGTGAGCCAGTTAAAAGACGCGCTGCGGCGTTCTGAACCAGCTGCAGGCGTGCGAGCGAGGACTGGCTAATGCCGGTGTACAGACCGTTACAGTAGTCTAGCCGCGTGGTAACAAAAGCATGAATCAACATTTCAAAGTGGTGACTAGAAAGTGAGGACTTTATTTTTGCAAGCTGCCTCAGATGGAAAAAACTGGCCTTCACCACAGCACTAACCTGCTTGTCAAATTTAAAATCCTGATCCATTTTAACACCAAGGTTTGGCACAGTGGGTTTAAGAAG